CTTACAAATTTCTCGACGAGCGGCATGTTCCGGCCCTGACGCTGGCGCTCTTCCATGCGCTAGAGAGCGCTCATTGGCCCGAGGTGGAGAAAACCGGGTCCGAATCTGTCATCGACGGATCTTTTCCCCAATCGAGTGCCAAGCCCAGATTTTGGCATGGGATTGGATCTGGCCAGACAGCCATCTCGCTCGGTTGTTTACCAACACCCTTGGCCCTGCCCTTTATCTTTAGTGTCATACCGGTGGTTTGATCACTAAACAGTGTTAATATTAGCCCGAGCGGATTATAGGCAGCTCCTGTTTATTCACTCGGGATTTATGTCCTCTTTTGATAGACACGATTTGATTCCGAGTCAAGAATTAGACACATGAGATGACCATGAATCGAGACGCGAGGATATTTCACGAGCTGGTTGGTGCGGCAAGAAAAGGCTTTTTTGGCATGTAGGCAGGAAGTACGAGCTCCACTTCCAGGACCGTGTTCGACATTTGGCGAGTCGTTGGTACGGGCGTCCTTGACCGATGTCGACCTTCAGTGGTCGCAGAATGGGAATCGAATATCTATCGGAAATATCTACGTATTGGAAGCATCCTACGAAAAGAATATATTATCGTTGCTTTTGAGGCCGCGTTTCCGGATTACTGTCGTCGTTTCGACATAAGCTAAAATGTTTTCATCACCTCGTGGTATCGTATCGCATCCCCCTACCCCCTCGCGACGAAGGGAGGAAGAAAACTTTCCCCCCTTCCCAAGCGGAGAATAAATTCGCTAGCCCCCAACCCTAACCCCACCCCCACCCGCACCCCCGCCATGGCCCTTAAGAAAGTTTCGGCGATTTGTTCTGGAAAAAGGTTCGTCATGGGCCTTCTGTCTATCGTGATTATCTCTACGAAGCTCTCATTCATTTCTTTTCTTTTCTTGACTTTCACTTTACCTTGACGACGAAAGATTGGAAGCAGCTCGCTGGGTTTCATGCGACGTATCCGAGTTCTCTGTGTGCGGAACCACCAGGTCAAAACTGACCAAGAATCCCGACGATACACGTCTTATGATCCAATCTAATCTAATCGAATCGAGGAGTATGCCCGTCGTCGTATCGTACGATACCGAGTCGGGTTTAGACGATTCAGGGGCTATAAGCGTCTCGGGGGTGCCGGAGCGCACGCGAGGGCTTGCAACGTGTGACGGTACGCTTGCTATCTTGCCCTGCTAGCGCATGGTCCGCTGTCCGCTAGCCCCTGGTAAGGTAAGGAAGCCCCTTGGGCGTCCACAACTGCAGTCAGGGCGTCATCCGAAGGGCGTCATAGCCGGTCACGGGGGCAAAGTCAAAGTAAATGGGCATGTTAGTGGGCATGTTGGGGCTACACTGGCCGTTGCGTAACCCCTTTTCGCCTAGAAAGCGGAAGTTTGGGGCCACGCTGTTAAAGCAGCAGCTGCTGTTTGCTTGGAGACCGCTTTCTTTTGCAGTGCACGTCAGAATGCCAAGCATCGTTGGACGAAGATTTGGAGGGAAGATGTAATTTGTTCCGAAAGAAAAGGAACAATGAATGTGTTTGTTTGGAGGGCGCTTTCTTTGGCAGTGCACGTCAGAATGCCAAGAATCGTTGGACGAAGAAATGGAGGGAATCTGCTCTCGAAGAGAATGAACATTGAATGCTAACGTTGTTCTCGCCCCGAGCACCAATGCACACTCGGAAGAGTTTCTCCGAAACATTTCGCAAGAATGAATACGGCAACGGTACTGATTCGTCCACATGATTATTCAAATCTTGTCCGAGTGGAAAAGTGTAATGTACTGGAATAACTAACACACACAATCAGTATTTTAAATTCGGTTAACTACATGAACTAGACTCTCATCTGTGACATCTTACATTTGCCAATGTTGAAGGTATAACTATATAGATCATTGAATATGAAATTGAATGAAGAATATCTTCTTTCTACTGTTTTTATGCACAATCCAATGAATATATTAACAAGACTTGTCAAATGTGTTCAATGAATATGTCAGTTGTTCAAGAACAAACATCAACTTAGTACTTTCATATATTTGTTCTAATGATGCAAAGATTGCAGAATTGAAAGCTTTGCATCTAGTTATTAAGTTGTGGTATTTGTATGGAGTAAAAACTACCGCTGAAATTGGACCAATTGTTATTGATGAGTTTTTTCTCATCTATAGTATTTTTTCTTGACATCACTTACATTATAGTCATATAACATTGGTCACATTTCCAACAATGCATTTATCCAAATCAGGATGAATTGTATATAAAAAAATATATTGTATATCTTAGATTATCATCCAAGGCAATGATGAGATGTTATTGTTAGGCAAAATAGCATTTTTGAATTTTTATCTAGATAAGTTTATAATTATGATCTACAAGACTTGGTAAATATTGTGTAGAATATGTTATCGACCATGAAGGATTGTCTGGTAACTTCTAGAATTGAATAAAATCGAAACTTCTTTAGATGTATTTACAATATCATAAGATATCTTCATCTTACTGATTGTATTATGACTCAAAAAATGTATCCCAAAGTAGATGGCAAATCAACATGATGATGTAATGCAGACAGATGATATTACTTTAGTTCAATAAAAATCAACATATGAAATTAAATCTTTTATAAAAAATCTTGTTTATATAATTCTAGTATTCAAATTCATACTAAGATTTACAGCTATTTTGCATTATTTTGGTAGTTCAATTATCATACTAATTTATGATCATAAGTAAGTAAAATTTGAATCTATGTGTAAAAAAATGTGAATGTGATGCATCCATTTGAAAAAACCTATAAGAAGAAATTCTTAATTTTAAGAATTACTCTAAAAGTTTCAAATCTATTTTACGATGTTCATTAATTATATTAGAGTTATGAAGTATTTTGAGATGTATAAATTGTTGCAATGAGTTTTACTATTTTTTCTTCATACGACTAAGGCAAATATATGTTAAAACAAAAATGTCTATTTTTTGATCTTAGATCAACAATATAACATGACTACTTTGATTTCCATCAACTGGTTTGATTGAAGATGAAATATTGCCTTGTTTTGATCTATTTGTGTACATTTGTTTCATTCATGCTGAGTTGAATGTGTTATTGAGTTAGATGCAGCAGGAAATAATATGATTAACTACCGTACGAGATATAATTTTAAAACCATTCACGATGATGTCAAAAAATACGTATTTTCTGTTATGGCTTAAAACACTATCATGGCTTGTGGTTTTACATATAGCATTTAAAATTTATTGAAATAATGATTACATCTCCTCTTGATTGACAAATAAAGCATATTCAGTTAATATCTAAGAGTATATGACAGTGTAAAAAAATCAACAATGTGTTCATACATCTTTGAAACCATAAGAAGCCAAGGATTCTACATCGGACATTAATATAATCTATATGAATGAGTGCTTGATAGTCTACCATACAAACAACCTTGTACACATAAACTTCTTTCGTTATATTGCAGAGGTTATGTTAGGCAATTCTCTACATAACACTCGTTGTGCACTCCATAAGAAAAACATTGTGTTACTTCGTGCAAGTTTTTTGCAAAATGTAAAATAAAAATCTTTTTACCTCGGTGCGTAAAATATTATAAATATAATAAAACATATGTTTCCATATGATGTTATAGGACTATCCCCATCATAACCCTGTTGTTCCATCAAGGCTTGATGGGCTCTTCCCGTTGTTTTTTTTCTGTGGTACTCGCTTCCCACAGTTTGGGGATGAAAAGGGAAGAGAGGAAGTGTGACTGGTGGGTCACCTGACCAAATCTCCTCGCGCTTTTCGTTTTCTCACAAGTAGGTAAGCTTACTGGATTTTCAAGAGGTGAATTCGCCTCGGTTCGAGCCAGACGTTTACAGTACAGTTCATGAGAAAGAGATGACACACTTGTTGCTCCGCGCTGTTCGTGGCAGCAGAGAGAGAGAGAAGAAGCGAGTGGAAAGTCGGTCCTCGTTAACATTCGGCGCTAATGTAGCTTGTACGATGAGTAAAAGCTAGGGGGAACTTGTAGGGAAGCTCAGATCCCAGGTTCCAGAACGATCGGAAGATGATAGCAGAAGTCGCAGACTTTTAATTCCACCTCACTGCCACGTAGGATCGGCAGGTTTCCGGGCCGAAGTCGGGGCACGAGCCATTGGACGGAGTCCCATAATTAGACAGACGATGAGCGTCGGATCTCGAAGACGATGGGGCTTGGGGCTTGGGACTGGGTATCGGGTGCTTATGCCAATAAGGGGCGAGATGGAAGATACACCCAAGAAAAGGAAAGAGTGGGGACTCAATTCGATCGCAAGCTGTGCTGGAATATGCGTAACCAGCCCAATGGAGTAGGAGGGCGGTAGAAGTTGATGATTGCACGAGAGATCGGCGGGCACATTGGCAAACGAGAGTGTTCCAGTCGCCGGTCCCAGAAAAAGAGAGCGAGCGGCCATTCAGAAGACTCGGAGAGGGCGAGCGGCCCTTCAAAAGGGGATAAGCTATCCCCAAGCGTCAAGCGCCGAGAAGCACCAGGTGCTCGAAAAGAAGCGAGCGTACATGTAGCCGACTGGCAGTGGCTAGATGTGTGCGACGGAGCGAAGGCCATATGATATGATCCGGTTGGCGAAACGAAAATTCCTCTTGCTTGCCCTTGCCCCTTGCCCGAAACTTTTGGACGAAGACAGCAAAAGGAGAAGAACGGACCACGAATAAGAATGGACGGGGTTGTATGGTGGGCTTATCTGGACGAATAAATATTAATAATTCCGGGGTTACAAAACCGCCATTTCCGTTTTTTCTCGTCGCGCTCTCCGAGAGTAGGGGCAGGGCTGGGGCAGCGGCCGGGCAGCGAGGGGGAGCCAAGGCAGGGGGGTAGGGTGGTGTGCTCCCACGCCACGTTAGCGAGCGAGCAGGACAGCGAAGCCGAAGGAAAGGGGCGCAGGGGCGGAGGAAAGAAAGGGGAAGAGGCTGGGGTTCGGCTGGGGGACGAGCAAGCCCAAGCCCAAGCCCAGGCACCTGCAGGCATCAACATCGCCAAGCCAGTGAAGGAGAGCAGTGGGCTTAGCGCTGCTCCGTGCTCTGCTCGGCTCTGCTCTCGTCTCGCAGTCCCGGCGCGTCGGCTATGGTGATGCACCGCCCTCCGTCTTATTGTCTCGGTCGCGGGCTCATCCTCGCACTCCGACTCTCCCCCGGGAGGAATAGCAGCGACCGCCCTGCAGCGTAAAGCTCCAGCAGAACCAGATTCAGCGAGCTTTGGACAGGATAAGTCTCGGTAGATAGGCAGGACCCGAATGCACAGATAGCGAGCGATCGCTCGCGAGACGACGACGAGGTTGAGGTCGAGGACGAGGCGAAGCGCAGGAAGAGACAGCAGATGTGGAGAGGAAAAGCAGAATGAGGGAGCGCGCATCAGCCGCGGCGGTTCCCCAGGCGATGAGATGAGCGTAGTCGCAAGTGAAAGCAGGGGAGCCAAGTCGAGGCGCAAGATTGACTCGTGTATTGCTCCTGTCACAGGTTGCACGCAAGGCGAATGCGAGCGGACACTATGGGGAGTAGGCCGTGAGATAGCTGTAGCAGGATTATGGAGGTTATCACCAGGTCCAAGCATCAGACTTTGATGCGGCGAGCGGGAGGAGGCGGAGAAGATCTGATCCACAATTTCATTTGCCTTTACGGTGTTCTAACCCTCGGAGCCGAACAGCAGCAGCGAATGAGGGGCTGGCAGACAGGCTTGGATCCGTAGAATCGGCAGCTACCGAGCTGGCTCAACGACCCAGGACGAAGAAGGAAGCGAGCGGTCGAGGAGCGCATAGGCTACAGGAATTCGCCGAGTTCCTGCTTCAGTCCTCCACCAAGGTCGGCCCCTGGTTGCATCTCTGCCGACTTAAGTCCATGTACCAGACAGTTTTTCTGAGTTTCGGTTGCGGTCGCTTGTCGTGAAGTTTAGGCCTCGTCCGCATGTGGTCCACGCGGTGAGACGGCTTTCTCTTGCCACTGTTGTGGCAGTAGTCTAGCTCCTTGGTCCTTTATCGTTCTGTGCTCTGGCCTGCATCTCTGTAATGTGCATGCCTGTCGCTCTGAAATTGGAAGTTGCCGTACAGCTTTGCGTCTAGGGCGTTTGGGCGTTTGGCTTCAGTATGCTCAGGTGTGCTCGGTTGCTCTGCTCTGTGCATGCAGAAGGACGATCCCCGAGTCAGTAGGAGGAGAATTGGGAGATTCCGGTGCCGGAAGTGAAGGCGGTGCATTAGGATTGCGCACGGTGGACATGGTCTTCGCGAGGAACATGTGTACGATGAAACCACTCCTGCGTTTGCTGGACGGGAGTTAGCCACCGTGTGACCGAGTAGATTAGATACGCTTTAGATTACCATTAGTCAGATTGCAAGCCACCCCGGTCCGAGGAAAGGTGTGTGCGGACAGATTACATGAGCTTGCTGCACCCCAATGCGGGAATGATAGAAGCGGAGGATCAGATTAGACTTGGGAGGAGTTTAGAGAGCAGCGAGTTGGAGTAAATAGGTGAGGACACTCATGACACACCGGCTATGGTCACAGGTTGCGACGACGGATCACATTCTGTGTATGATCGAGGTGGAATCCGCGAGCAAACGGAGTTATGGTAGTAAATATGCAGGTATTTAGGTACAGCAGCTTCTGGTGTGGAACCACTTTCTCTTATCATCACGGCACGCATCCACGAGTCTTTCATCCTACTCATCTTGTCAACCATAGTACAATTTCGACGAGCTTAGCAACGAATTGGGATAACTTGTGACAAGTTTCACCTCTCAAAATGGCCGCTCGCACTATCGTCTGGTTCAGACGTGATCTTCGAGTTGAGGATAATCCAGCACTCGTCGCGGCTGCGAGGGCTGGTATCGTCATTCCTGTTTTCATATGGTCTCCCGAGGAGGACGGGCAGTTTCACCCCGGTCGCGTGTCGCGGTGGTGGCTCAAGCAGAGTTTGATTCACCTGGACGCGTCTCTCAAGAGCTTGGGTTCTCCTCTGATCATGAGGAAGTCCCCCGATACACTCACAGTTCTTCTAGATATCGTGCAACAAGTTGGAGCTACGCAAGTGTTTTACAATCATTTATACGGTGAGCCATCCCTCTCTCCAAATAGACTTTCTCACTGAAAACGTTTGGATCTGCCGGAACAGTCACCGCGAGTGTCGACCCACCGCTATACAAAGTTTTGCCCGGTCTATGTGCAGTGCTCCATGGATTCTTCTTGCACGAGATAGATTGTAGTTAGTCATCCTTGCAATTACGCGTCTGCCTCTATTCGAGCCTCTCAGGCTTAGTACAGAAGAGCGGGAGCTCTGTTTAGCATTGTGTCTTGTTGTAGTGTTAGGCATCCTTCACAATGCACGTCTGTGGCAGAAAGTCTATCTTACTGTGGGAGAAAGGTGCTCAGAGACTCTAGCTTCGTTTGGTTTAGCTTCGTGGACACTACACGTCTATCAGGTTACTTTCTGCGAGACGGTCGATTCTTTCTGTTGACCAGTTCGAGTACTAAGCTCTTCGCTTGGCTGGACAGATCCTGTATCCCTTGTTCGAGATCATCGCGTGAAGCAAGGGTTGTCTATACACAATATACCGGTACACACATTCAACGGGGATCTACTGTACGAACCGTGGGAAGTCTACGATGACGAGGGACAGGCATTTACCACGTTCGACGATTTCTGGGATAAGTGCATGAATATGCCTTTTGAGCCTGAAGCTCCTCTTCTTTCCCCGAGACGATTAGTCGGGCTCCCACCAGGTGAATATTTGCCATTCCTCTCCGTCAGTTGGACGCCCAAACGTATAAGCGACTAGGAAATGAATGTCAGTAGTCAACGCAGATGATTCATGTTTCGTCCGACATCACTTCAGGAATCAGCTGCTCTTGCACTTGGCTTTTGCTGGCCTGTTTTTGGCAGTTTCTCATATGTTCGTTATATGACCTCCTACTCTGTTTGTTTCAAACTCCTATTACTGTTGTTTCTTTATGTTAATTCGCCCACTCTACTGGTGGTCCCGCCGGGTTTGCTTCGTGTGTTGACATGCAATCAGAGAGAAGTGTTTGTGAGAGTTGGATTCGTGTCAATTGGCTTTACCGACACATGTGTTTTTGGTGATGTTAGCGTGGTGTGGAATCAGTGCTATCTGTTTTGAAAGAGAAGACGACACACTGCCTGCCGAACTTATGAAGTTGTTGAACTGAACGATATTGCAGGAAGAATCAGTGCTGGAAGGATCGACGATCTTGGTCTTGAGAATGAATATGAAAGAAGTAGTAACGCTCTGCTCGGTCGGGCATGGGCACCTGGATGGAGTAGTGCTAACAAAGCGTTGGAGGTGTTCATGAAAGGTCCCCTCCATGATTACGCGACACACAGAATAAAAGCTGACAATGCCAACACTTCTCAGCTGTCTCCGCACTTGCATTTTGGGGAAGTGAGTGTGCGAAAGATATTTCATGAGGCTCGCACGAAACAAATTCTCTGGGCAAGGGAGAATAGTTATGTGGGCGAACAAAGTGTTGGGATGTTTCTCAGGGCCATCGGTTTTCGTGAATACTCAAGGTATTTGAGTTTCAATTTTCCTTTCACCCATGAAAGATCTCTTTTAGCGAACCTGAAGTCTTTTCCATGGAGAATAGACGAAAATTCTTTCAAATCTTGGAGGCAAGGCCGCACTGGATACCCTCTAGTAGACGCTGGCATGCGTGAGCTCTGGGCCACCGGTTGGCTGCACAACAGGATCCGCGTTGTCGTTTCCAGTTTCTGTGTCAAGTTTTTACAGCTTCCTTGGAGGTGGGGAATGAAGTACTTTTGGGACACTCTATTGGACGCCGATCTCGAATGCGACGTTCTCGGCTGGCAGTACATATCGGGCAGTTTGCCAGATGGACACGAGCTGGACCGAATGGAGAATCCTCAGGTAGAGCGCATTGTCTCATGTTGCCAACTTCCGAGCATCATTGCATCGGGTTCATTAGCTCTTGGCATGTGAGCCTGTTTTGTAAGTTGTTTCATTCGGTCCGTAGATCCTGTTCTGATGCAAGTTCTGCAATTCTTTCTGATTTGTGCCTGCAGATCGAAGGGTACAAGTTCGATCCAGAAGGGGAATATGTCCGACGTTGGTTACCTGAGCTCTCCAGGCTTCCGACAGAGTGGATTCATCATCCTTGGGACGCACCTGCAAACGTTCTGCGTGCCGCTGGAGTCGAGCTAGGATCTAATTACCCGCGGCCTATTGTAGATATATCTTCAGCTCGAGACCAGTTACAGCAGTCACTGGCAGAAATGTGGGAACGCGAGGCAGCTTCCAAAGCCGCATTAGCAAACGGGTCGGAAGAAGGATTGGGTGAAACTGTGGAAACTCCGGGGTCGTGTGGGCCCGGTGTGAAAATGGATGTACATAGGGTGGTTATCAGAAGTAGTAGAGCGGCTTGCTCAACAGCGAGCTCACGAAGGGATCAGCTGGTCCCATGCATGCCAACGGAAGATCATAAGTTGGCCGCTGCCTCAATCATGAACTGGAACCAGTCACCGGTAGACGAAGAGGATGAGCCTGTACAGCCAGCTTTTGTACCTTCTCAGACCGGTGGACTCCTAGATCGCCCGTCTGAAGTGCGGGCAGAGGTCATCGCGCATCCACCGTCCGACAGTTCCATGGCCGAAGCAGTACATGTAGATAACGAACTAAATTCCACCGCGGAGTCTTCAGCAGCTGTCGGAAGGCGATCGGAAGAGAGCAGGGGTGAAGTGCCAGTGTGGCCACACTCGTCCTCTTCTCGACCCCAAAGACCGCACCTGGAGGGGTTGGTTCCCGTCGTTCCAGAAGTGCGTCGTGCCACCTTGAACAGAAGACATTTGCACTCCATGCAAATGGTGAACCTGGAGGCCAGGACTTCACACAAGGTGAGGCAGTCGACTCTAGGAACTACCACCCTTTTCTTCGAAGAGTTTACGAGTGTTATTCCCCCCCATGAGAGAGAGAGGGAGAGTGCATATGCTTTCAGCATCTCGATTGAGCAGTGTCTATATTTTTCCAGTTTTTGCCTGTTTATGGTTTTCTGGGGGTGGCGGTGGTTAAGAGTCCATTTTCATGAATCCTACATATGGTCTGCTTTGTTGTGGTGCTTGTCCCTGTTGCAGACAAGTTCACTGTCGGCTTAGATTGGTCAAGGTGGAGCTCGAAAGTGGGTGAATCTCTGCAGCAACTACATGACAGTACGACTTGTTTGCTTTTGGGGGTGCTCACTTGCACGATTGTCACCTGCTTATGGGGCCCCCTGTTGTTGTGCTTGAGTTAGCAGGCAGATGACGTGGATCTCCCAGCCGCGAAGCGCTTTAAGATCAAATCATCCAAGCGTGAACCCAGAATACATCGATGACATTTTCTGGGAAAAGCCAGAGGAGAGGATCCTTCTGTGTTCCTCTTTTCTGGTACTCGTCTTCTGTTCGCGCCGACTCCAAAGGTCACTACACCTCAGGACCCTAGACGAAGCTAATTTGGCGATTGAGGGTGGTGTTTAGATCCGGACGGTCTGGACATCAGCACTCCAAGAGATCCCGGAAGTCATCAGCCAGCCAGCCGCAGCTTGTCTTATCTATCCGTCACTGAGGACGGAAGACCTCATATGAGCCCTCGCTCCTTTGACAGCAGTCATCTCTGTAGGTGCCGTGGCCGTGAGGATCCTCAGCTTTCATTCAACTCAGGGCAGCTGGTCCGAGCGAGCGAAAGATTGCAGAAGTGCCTTACAGGAAGAGCGAGCCTGCCTCTACTTCTGAATCGGAGGTTGTAAAAGGCAGAGGAAGGAAGAGCCTCCACTTCTGACTCGGAGGTTGTAAAATGACATGCTGTCATTAGTTCTCTGTTGAGTATGTAGATAGTGGTTTTAATGCGGCTTATCAAGCTACAGAGAGGTACTATCAAAAGCGGGTCTTGCTTTGGTGAGGCTGTTGCATTGAGTTGAGTTGCAGGCCGGGTGTGAGGGCACAGTTGTGTGCGTGCTTGATCCATGGACTGGAATTTGAAGTAGGAATTAATGATTATATACATATGACTGTTGCGTCATGTCAACGAGAAGTCAAACATTTTTGAAGTTTATAATAATAAATTGGCGTGTGAAGTTTCGTAATATTTCCGTAGCCTCCTTCCCTCCGCCCTCTCCTCGCCGTTCTAGGCCCAGATTTTCTGTCGACTTCCGAGTCTCCATATCCTGGACCTTGTTGAGCACGAAAGCCGACCGGTCCATCTCTCAATTCGGCACCTATCATGTCGCTCGGTGCCTTACCTGAAGCTTATACTTGAATGAACTCGTGTCCCGTAGCGTCACATGCAGTCATCGAGTCCATAGACATGTCATGACATACAATTGTACCTCGAGAGGGAAGAGCCCATGTGGGCAGGTCAAGTTGGCTCTGGGGCAGCACGGGAACAGAGCATTTGCATCCATGCCCAACAACTAGCAAGAGCAATGGCGGAAATGTTTTCTCCAATGAGGTTTGTATGCATAGCACGTACTGGATCTGAAATGGTCAAGCAGCCTCTCAGCGAGGCCGTTGTCCATGGAAAAGCATAAAGCTCTCGAAAGGGTGAGAGTTGAGTAATGTCCAGGTGATGGGCATGTCAGCTAGTTATGCAGCCAATGGGAGGAGGTGCCTGAGCGAGCAAAACAACGAATTGTCGCCTCCCCTTCCGCCTCCGAGCTGCCTCCCTCTTATCCATAGCTGGCTGAGTTCTGACAAGTCACGAGCTCATCCATCGAAGCACATAACTTTGGACTGTACTGCTCACGATACGGGCATGACATAGCCATCTCTATCCACAACTCCCGTGCGCATGCTCTGGCGTTCACCAGTAGTCTTGACTTCAAAAATATGCCTCCTTGCCTGCATGCCCATACCTCGCATTAAGAGTTTGTTAATCATGGGACTCCTTTTAAGAAGCGGCGATGTGTTTCTTCCCATGGGAGCTGCCAGATTCTGTTTTGGTCTTTATGGTAACTAAACGCTGTATTTCAACGAGAATTTACGAAACCCTAAACTCGATAGCCTACCCAACACCCCAATAGAAGCAATTGTCTATTTTAGATTCTGAAAATATAGTTTTTATTATCTGTTTTTTTTTCAATGTTAAATTTATGCAGAAATTTCAGGTAATAAAACCGTACCAATATTCACCACTTTGTAACATACTCAAGTCTCTTTCATGGTTATATAGTTTTAGCTTCCCATATAGTTTGGAACATATATGATATAAGATTCATGAAGCAATCACGTTTTAGTTCATAGAAGTCTACATACCACTCGACTACCGAAACGCGATCATCAGAACTGTAAATAAATCTTACATGATTTATTTACATGATTTCATCATTTCTCCACTTTGTCATAGAAATGTTTAAATGGATAATAGCAAATGGTAGATGCATAATTTTCATACATCCGATTTGAGAAATTGCGATCAAAGTAACCCAATTCCAACCAGATCTCAATAGGGATAAGTAAAAGAGCAACAAGTCTCTTGTATGCAGAGAGCTCACAAATCTTCAAACGAACTCCGTGCGAGAGAAGAGTCTGTGTCCAACAGAATTTAAGCTAGTGGAGTCTTCTGTTTTATGTCTACCTAATTTATTGCTTACATATTTGAACTTTAATTATCAATTTCAAGTACTACAAGAAAGTAAATGATTGAAACCACAATTTAAAGTGTCATCAAGTTAATTTTATCGAGTTATGGGATCTTAGTATGTTTTCAACAATTTTATTTGAGTATGTATTTCAACTGGATCCCAAGTCTGTGCTATTGTTCAGCATCATGTGAATTCATAAACGTTGTACATGATTAACATATAGCCTCTGTATTCTCTTGATCTCTGTCCCATCTCTTATTCGTCAGATTCTCATACTGTGTGTGAATTGTAAATATTTAATGATGGGAGTTGCTTTTATCAACTTTACTTTTATGTTTTATAATAGTATACAAAAAGGATGGAAATATCCTTCAAGGCATAATAATAGCAAACATCTTAGTTTTAATAGTATAACGTGTGACGAAAATCCACTCCTTATTGATAACAAATAACGTGAACATGCACTTATAAAAATAAAGGTATAGAAGGACTAAGCAAAGGAACCCCTATACAAAAAAGTGAAATGAGAGATCTCCCTTTGTCTACTCAAACTCTACCGAATACTTTCCACAATCGACGCTTATTACCGACGGGCGTAAGCGAGGGGAGAGGAAGCGCAATGCGAGTTGACTTTGCTGCACTCTGTGCAAGAAATATTTGTTTCATGGCTCCCAGTCCTGTTCGAATTGCATGAATCCTGCGTCGACGTTCAAGCACGCATGATTCGGATGAAGGCTCGATGAAGACTCGGATCTAGGAGAGAGAGTATATATATATTTATGTATATAAATGGTAAATGGACCAAGCCCGGGGGACCCAAAGGGACAAAATATATTTGTCAGCCCTCCCTTCCCTGGGCTCTGCCTCTGGCCATGGATCTCTCTCGTCCAAACAAATGCAAGGGGCCCGCCGTTGTCCGCAGCGCAGAGTATAATGATGCACCTCCGAAACGAGCAGAACCAGCATTCCAAAACGGCATGGGCAGGGATTGGCAGAGACTGCGCAGGGCGAGCAAGTTGGGCGAACCACTTCACGGATGGCAAGACGGAAGACCGACCCAACTTGCAACGAGGCACAGAGTCAGACCTGCCGTCGCAAGCCCACGAACCCAAGCGGGCCAAGTTGAAGCCGGGCCCAAGAGAGTCCCGAGAATGCGAGCATGGATTTTGGCATTTCGCACAGAGCCATCGCGCATGTGAGTTACACATGCAGATTACGAAGACGATGAAGAAGAAGGTGGCGATTTCCTCCGAACTCTCTCTCTCCCACACCCACCACCCAACCATGCGCAACAACGCTCAAGTAGTCGCGAAGCCCCCTCTGCTGGGGGCTTCGCGACTACTGTTATTGGCCCACGACGTTTACTGGACCATCTGGCTAGGCATGGGCACGTAGCCGGCTAACTTTCGGCTAGCCGGCTTGGCCTCAAATTTAGCCGGCTAATCGTCTCTCGCCCATCAATGTTTAGTCGATAATTTCGGTCGAAGCTGAGGAAATAATCGGCAGAAAGCGTAAATTCGGTCCGAGTTTACGGTTCGATTTCGGCCTCGGATAGAGGTGGCAATATTTATCGGCTAGCCGGCTAACAAAAAAATATTAGCCGGCTAGCTGTTAGCCGAGCCTTGCTCCATCGCTGGTCGAGGTTTTGACCAGGTGAAAAAAACTCTCCCTCTCATCCGGCGCCCACCATCCCATCTCGGAAGCGGCGGCATTATGGTCAAAATACAATCCTGTGCTTGTCATAAGTCAATGTGTCATTTCCCCCCAGCAGAACGGGCTCAGTGAGTACTGTAATCGGCTTACGAACATAATTGGCCATCCGAGATTCATGGCCCTCGAGCTTTTTCATGGGACCGAAAATATAGAGTTAGAGATAATAGCGGTCGCTTGTTGCTTAGTGTTACCTGTACTTTATAGGAGACGAAACTCTAGTGCAAGATAAAGTTTCTCAGTTATGGCGCTCTTGTCTTGGGTAATTTTAATTCAATGATATGAATGGTACATACTTCCTAAACAAGAATATTCCACAGATCATGTATAGTTTTGATTATTTAGCCTATAAAAATCATCTAGAAAACCCTTTTGAAATTAACATTCATTATCAGAGTAAGTTATCTCAGTTATGAACTATCATTATTAATTAATTAATTAATTATATATAAATAAAATATCGATCTGTCACATTGAATTATAATCAAATATCTATCCTTAAACCATGTAATATATCAATTATCAATATAGCATTTTTACAAAAGCATTTTTTTATTATAAAGTATTATTTATCATTGATGACTTTGAAATTTGAATACTCACAAATTTTTTTCTTCAATATATCAAATAAAAAAAAAAACTTAGATCTATCAATTGAATGTTTGTATATAATCAAACCATCTTTATCAATTCAAACAGAATTAAATATTTTTCAAGATGGAAATATGTGACATTAAATTGATTTGAAACTGATTATTTATAATTGTGCTGTTAGCAATTAGTGTGTTCATTATATATACATTGAATTTGTTAGTTGAAAATAACATGCATGTGTTTGCTAGTAGAGTAATATCTACCATGTAATATATTCACAAGAAGTTAGATAGCATTTCATTCAATCCTATAACATTTTCTTGATTGTGTATTTATTTAAAAAAATATTCTAATGTTACAATGATATGAAATATTTATGTTTTCTTTAAATGTGAAATATACCTCATGAAATTCTAAAAAATTATAGAAAAATTTAATATTTTAAAAGTTGAATAGACATAAGCAAAAATCATAAATTTGTATGTAGTAAAATTAAAATAAAATTAAAATATGGTATGCAAATATGAAAAAAATTTAGATATATATAATGATAAAATGGAAAATTTGTAATATTTTTTACATTCACATTTTGTTTTATAAAAACGTACCGTTATGATATGACTAATAAAGTCAGAATTATTATTGAACTTTCAAATTTGTTATAATATGGAGATTTGTGATTGATTCATTTGATATTATATTGAATATAAATGTATATAAATTATAAAAGTTTTATTTCAATTTGAAAGAACTCATATGTAGAGATTGTTGAGTTTAATTTATGTTAAAGAATAATGTTACTACTAGCTTAAATTAGCTAGCAAGTATCGCCAAGGTGGATATACTTTTCACTATTGTCTATATATTCTCTTGCATGTTATTGTCGCAGATGTATCCCTCCACTTGAATGAACCATGTTATATTGTGTTTTCTCATGTTTTCTATCTAGCTAATTATCACCTCGATGTTGCTATGTTAATGTTTTGAACTAACATTTATAAGTTCATATTCTTGTGAAAAATATGATAAAAAATATCATAAAGGTATTTAATGATCATTTTTACTTTTTCTTTTTATTCATGAATTGTATTTTTTTGATATTTATCATACTTAAGGAGAGGTCTAGTTATACCTTAGTTTAGATGAATTATCCCTCATCCTACTATACTTTACAGAGAAAGGTCTGTGATTGATCAGAGCTTTCCCTATGTTTACTATAGGTGTGTGATATAGTCTTCGTGGGTATTTGGAAAAGGAAGAAGTTGTGCACATTAAACTAGAGTGAGAAAAAAATTAATCCACACTAAGTTATAACCAGCAGCTCCCTACTTAAATTAGGTTATTGAGATTGAATATAATACATAAGTGCATTATTTGATATAAATAAAAATCTAGATGCAATCATAAAAAAATAAACAGATGAAAAAAAATAAAATAGAGCGAAATTAAAAATCACAAAACATGAAACATATAAATATTACATTGCATATGATAAATTTAAAAAAATGAATTAAAAATTTTATTACATGAGATTTAATTTTAGTAAAAAATAATTCTATTGATATTGTGAAGACAAATAAGAGATTAAATATCAAATGCTTTGAATGTTTTGCTTCAATTGAAAATTCAATCTTGGTGTTTGGGTATATCAGTTCCAGCTTCGACGCAATTGTATTGTCAATTTTCTCATCTTTTCATGACCAATATGCGCAATTCAAGCTTAACATACGTTATAAGTTACGTGACTTTTGGGCACAACCGTTCACTTTGTTTCCACTCCGACAAAACATTCACTTTAGCCACCAACAATATACTGATAATGAAAAATTACTAGTATACTAAAGATATAAAAATTGAGAGTGGCTAGTTATTCCTCACTTAGGGCTAAGTAGCACTCATCCTACTATATGCTCTTTCCTAATTGGTCTTGCCGGGTTATAGCTTTTGTGATTATATATGATGCATTTTGAAATTACGAGGTCAAAGTTCACGAATTTTTTGAGTGTTGGAATGGAGATCGTTTCTTGGTGCCAAAGTGTTTACCAAGGTTGAAACTTTGCAAGGACGTGGAGTTGGGAAGCGCGCTCTAACTTGCAAAATTTCACGCATTTTGGAGTTCGAGGCCGAAGTTCACAAATCTCTTGAGTTTTGAATGTTGGGATCGAGATTATTTCTTGGCGCAAGAGTGTCTACACATGCTGCAAAATTTCACCTATTTTGGAGTTATAAGGCCAAAATTCACAAATTCCTTGAGTTTCAAGTTGGAGTTTTGAGTGTTGGAATTAAGATCATTTTTTGACGTCGGAGTGTTTACCAAAGCTAAAACTTTGCAGGGGCATGGAGTTGAGTAGCGCGCTCCAGCCTGCAAAATTTCACGTATTTTGGAGTTGCCAAGCTAAAGTTCACAAATTTCTTGAGTTTCGAGTGTTGGGCTCAAAATGGTTGCTTGCAGAGATTGTTTTTTCGCGCCGAAGTGTCTACCGGATTATAGCTTTCGTGTGATGAGTATCAACTCGGCGGGTTTTTCTTTTCCCTTTGCGTCAAAGATGCCTTCGTGGCAGACGTCACGTTAAAGCCATGCTTGTCATCTCCGTGCGATGCCTGACGTGCTTCAGCGTTCAATCTCCGCTGAGAATGCTATCTCCTGAACCTCTGTGCACAGTGGAATTATCATGCGAAGCTTATGTGTAGATTGATAAGTAAAGAAGAATCTTGAACGCTAACTTTGATTTGTGGATGTGACAAAAACTCTTACGGGCCTTCAAAGTTTCATTTCTATTCACACACAACGTAACATGAGCATCAACGTACAACAATGCATGGAACTGTGTCGAGGAAAATTTGTTCCCGATAAAACAACCAACTTCCTTGAAGTGATGAAATAGAAACTTGAATCCAACCGACCAAAGTGAAATAATCAACCAGAGTCTCCTGTTTGATCAAGTTGCTCAGTTTCATCCAATTGCTATTGTACGTACTCTGAAATCTCAATAAACTGTTCAAACATAAGCTTTTGGTTGCCAATATACACTTTTTTGTCTTGGACAATGCAATGCACACATTCACTTGGAATTGCTTGAAAACTATGGTTTTTAGAGACTTTCATTTGATCTCACTTCGCCGAATATTTTGACATATAAAACAACATTTTTTGCTAGAAAAATGTTTGCTATACGCTTGCAGTCATCAACCGTCTAATTATGAATGAATCATTGTAGATATGCGAGCCATGGATTTCTTAGTAGAGTTTAAAATGAATAGCATCCGTTGTAGTTTGACTTGAAACAGGAGTTTGCCACGAAGGCTTCTTTGACGTAGAGGGGAAAGAAGTAAAACTCGCCAAGTTATTACTCATCCCACGAAAGCTATAATTTGACAAGATCAATCAAGGAAGAGCGTACAGTAGGATGAGGGTTAATTAAACCTAAGTGAGGGATGACTAGTCGCTACCTAAAAATTTTACAAGAATAAATATTAATTTTAAACTTGTGTATATTTCAACTTCATATTTTTTATTTTATTTTCCTAAGATTTTAATTCATGATTTCATTATAAATGAATGTGTTCAAATTTTTTTCCAAAAAACAAAACAAAATGACTTGAGTCATAAATCAAGGATACTAAAATCTGGATTATTGAAGTGATGAACATAAATATTCTATTATAAATCACCTATATTTTCATCTTGACTAATTTTCACTTTAGTTTTAAAAAAATTAAAATGATTATAGAAGATCAATCTGTGTTGTTACATTGCCAAAAAAAAAATGTTATCGATGTTATCATTTAAGTCATTTTTTCAATGACAAAACTATGTTACATGTATTCAGCATAAAAAAATTTTAGAGTAAGAAAATATATTTCAATGAAATAAGATTTAAGTAGTTTGATATGGACATTTTTTACTATCCATACATATTGACATTTTATCGGATTATCTTCAATGAGACGCGGTATCTTGTGTTTCACATGCATATGAATTGTGTATAATTTTATTTATTGATTACAAGATGAATAATCAATCCAACATCTACCATAGTTTGTCATTAGAAATTACAATTATCACAAAAATAACAATAATGATATGTGATGTAACTACTTCCACGTGAGACACAATTAGCCTAATCAAGTAAAAAATTTTATATAATATCAAAGTGATATTCATAGTTTTTTCAAAAAAACGTTATGTAATAATTAAAAAAACTCAAGTTTTTTTAAGCACAATTATTACGAACCTACAATAATAACAAATTTTTTATATTTTTCTAACATTTTATCCACAATGTTGCACTTATGCTACATCAAAACCGAAAGTAGAAAAACATAATGTATATTCTATTTATTTGAATTTTGTGCAAAAGATATGCTCATAACGATCAAAAAACTTCGGAGTACCTCCTAACCTACTCTCGGCTCTTCCCATCATTCCGTCAAATCTAGGGTATCAACTTGTGAGTGTCTTCTTCAAAGAGGACACACTTACCACCGCTGGGTATGACTTGATTTGGATCCTGTCATTCGGATATATGGCTTTGTGCCACCTCAAAAGTAATCTCATCGTTTCATTCATCTTCATCTTTTCTGTATTGCACCACCTTCCAGTACACTTCAGTCTCCAGGAGCGCTTGTGCTGCAAGTGCAAGACCCTGCGGTCTTGCAGCACAAGTTCCTGCCAGTTGGATTCTGGATTTGCAGCACAGACAATAATGCACACCTAATCTCCAACCTGTTTGCAACAAATCACGATCGGACGAAAAGGTTTTGGTGGGAGCGGCCAGATTAAATGCATTGCCGCTTCGGCTGCGAGGGCAAGAGTGTCATTTGGATATGATCGGTCAGGCCAGAGATGCACGCGCATGAGCCAGAACAGCCTTCACAGCCTTCCTCGCATTCAGGGGCTATTCGGTTGGTAAGCCGGATCACGAAACGGAGCAATTCTCGGTCCACATTAGCCCTCGTGCTTCATGCCAAGGGGAGAATCCGTGCTGCACCTCACTTACGGGTAAAATCTAACCAAAGCGTATAATATCGTATTCTATCAAATCTCGCTCGTCACTTGAGGGAAGAATTGAAATTATCTCGCTCTCCGCTCGGAGATACCAACGATACCGACAACAAGGATTCAGAGCAAGAATACGTGTGCAGACCTGGTTCTGAGCTCCTGAAGGTGGCCAAAGCTGGGCCTCTGCTCACTACCCAGTGAATCTTATCAGAATATTTTGGATCGCCTGCGCGTCGTAACACGAACATATTTGAATCTCGAAGGAGCGCAAAACAAAATCCCTTTTTGCAATCCGACAGAGACGATCGGGGACAATTAAGAAGGTTCGGATAGCCCTCTTTCCTCACTCGGAGATTCAGTCGATGGATGGATGCCTGGCACTCGCATCTGGCAACCCAACCCCCTACCCCTGACGAGGCGGGACGAGCAAATCCCCCCAACTTCATGGGCACTCCGAGCAGAGCGTTGAAAAGAATCTCTCCTCCCCTTCCCTCCCCGCTCAGACAGACAGACACACACAGACCGAAACTGTAGAGAGAAATTCATTCACTTCCCGGGATCCCGAAATGGCATCGAACGACGGAAATCGATCGAGTCTCGCTCGAACACAAACCCAGATCGAAGGTACGCATCACACTGGTGCCGCAATCTGGTCTTGTCCTGTCGGGTCGGTTAACCCGGGTTAGGTTCGTCTGGTTGGGTCAGGTTAGGTGCTACGGCGTGAGCTGGGTTGGGTGACCTGGGCTTGGCTGACCGGTGGCCAGGCCTGGTTGGGTCATGTCGGAGGGGCTGCGGGTGGGGCTGGGGTTGGGGGAGGGGGTGGGGTCGGGGGTCGGGGGTCGGGGGGTGGGGTTGGAGGAGGGGGGAAGGGAGTCGTGATCCCACTTGATCCGACTACCAAGTGAAGGTCCGAGGGCTGTGGCGCCCATTGGTGGGCAACTGCTGGGTCTCATCCGGAGCCCCTCAATGGGAAGGATCCAGTTGGGCACGACATGATGCTTGCATAGGTTCACGACCAGGCCCAGTCAGCCAGTCTCGGGGTGCCTTGCTGTCAAGCTGCCGGTCCACTGACCGATCGGCCTTTGCATCCGAGAGTCCTGTTCGCTCGCCGTCTGCTGACGTTCTCATTCGCCTCGAGCCCTCCCTCGACCGCCCGAGTCCCGAGTCCCGAGCCCCCGGCCCGAAAATTCATCCGCCTTCGTCTGCTGCCCCCCTCGTGTGGGCTCGCGTGGGGTTGCGTAGCACCAATGGGCTAAATGGGACGCGGACCGCCTCCATTAGAAAACAGGGCCATGCCGCAGTGCCAAAACGGGACGGGCAGAAAAGAGCGGTGCGAGCATATTTTGCTGGTGGCGAGGCCCTGCTCCGCTCCAACTCGGCTTCGACGCGAATCGGAGTCGGAGCAGAGGTTCATGTGGGAAATATCGAGAAGCCTTATCTTTTTGCTCGGTCAACAACGTTCTGAATCTTCGAGGGTTCATTGGATGTCGAGGTCTGAATCTCCGTCAAATGTCAAGAGGGAGAGTCCAGCTGCGAACGGGGCCATTTCACGACAGCACTTTCGTATCTCCCCCAGTAGTACACACGCAGGGGGGACATGCATACAGGATTGGTGTGTATGTGATAGATTTGATTGTTTAATCGCAGCAGTCCTCCATCGCCCTCATTGGCCATTCGCACCGGCCGTACACCAGCAATGAGGACTCGTAAGGTGGCATTTTGCCAACCTTATCACGGATGTGCTTTCTGTTCTTCACAATGCCTTCTGTTACCGAGCGAGAGAACAAGGAATAAATTTAACGAATGCTACGCGGACTGATTGAAGCACCTGTCGTCAACTTGTCACCAGTACTTCGTTTGTGTTCCAATCATGTGGTATCTAGTGGGTCTTTCCAAGAGATGCACCACTGCACAACTGGAACTGCAACGCCTGACTCCGTTAATCTCACTTAATTCTCCCGTCTGCAGATGACACATGTGCCTTGAGCTCCTGACCCAATCTATGCTGCCCACTTGTCCCGTACTTCAAGGTAAAGCACGGTCCACGGACATAATCATGCTGATGGAGCTGACTTCTGATGTCAGAAGGAGTACATCCACGTTTTGTCCTCGTAGAAAAAGGATAGGATATATCACACGGAAGAAACTGTGGTGTCTGAGAGGCCGTTTATTTATTTTACTGCTCGTGGTCAAAATGTTTGTTCGAGTACAGAAGATTGTACTCCATCATTCTCTGTTTCCAAGCCGGTGTTTCTTAATGGTTGTGGATTCCTGTAATTTTTGGAGGACTCGATGAGTGCGATTGCTTTTCGAAGTCGATACTCAGATTGATTCCACATCGAAATTACTGTTTCCAATGCCTTGAATAGTGTATGACAGAGCTGCTTTCAGCGATTTCGACTTCAACAACTTTGATCTTTGCTATTATGCTACAACCAAGTCTTGCAGTCAATACTGGTGGATAGAGCACCAAAACAAGGAGTAAAGCAACAACAAATTCGAAAGAAACGTAACGACATATTCAAAAGCCGAGTGGAAGCAGGCCACATGATAAAAGACGTCTTAAAACTCCGACACTTTTGCCATCATTCATTGTCAAAGGTCTCTACCGCTCGTAATAAATGATGAGAGATGTACGACCGCGAAGAGAACATTCGGAAGTCCACTCACGGGAAATTGAATGAGACTTCTGCACCGAATAGAAATATATGCAACAAAAAGGGTCTAGAGGAATCAACCGCTTAGTCTATCATTCATCGTCGTTAGTATCTCATGTCTGAAGCATCACAGAGATCCAAGAGCGACAGCGAAGCGGTACAAGAAGTGACGCCACGAAAAAAATCGAGCACGCATCGTACGACATGAGATGGAAGGCGCTTGGAAAACATGATCAGCCAGTTGGTGATCTGCTCTGTTGCTGGAATGAACTTACAGTTTAGCAATTACTACGTTCCGGCACTGTACAAAGTGGCAGCAACGACCACGTGAATTGTCTCTCCAGTTATCACCTAGGATCAACTTTACATCGACAGCCCGAGGCTCGACCGTCAAATATTCAGGGGGAGGGTGGGAAGGGATACAAGACACTTCTACACAAAAAATAAAAAAATACACTGAATCTACCACCAGTCAGCTTCAATCCAGTATCATCTTAGTCCCTTGCGAGCAGTCTTGTCTCAAAACTCCACTCGGCAGCCTGGAACCATTGGCTACGTCTAGCTTCCAAACATACATTGGACCTGCCCTATCGTGCTCAAGACGATTCACCTCAGTCGGGAGATTCATCCTCACTGGTTCACGTTCGCCCTTGCAGTTCCACTCACCAAGAACCCTACAAGAAAATGCGGCAGAAAGTTGTCCCAAGTTTTCCTTACAGCTTAACACAACTTCCCCCGTCAGCCGATTTTGTTGGGCATTCTCCCTGGGAGTCTTCTTCAGCGTGGATAGCCACGGGCACTCCGGTTGACCGACCATTTGCTTGTACGCTGCATTCATGTATCTCACCCGATCTCTGTAATCAGTTATGATGGCCGGCATAGATATGGATTCCAATTGCTCTTTTACATATTCCAAGTTCTCTACCAGAGGAATAGCAGCAGCGCTGATTCTCGTTATATTGAGAACAGTCAAAGTTGAGCCCACAGGCCGAATGGGCTGCGGTGCAATGACCGTGTGGTGGTTGGCTGGCACGCCGTCGCCGGCTTCTTCGCGCATGCTCGGATGGCAGATGCGCTCTGACATCCCATTCCTATACTCCGTATCGTTCTCTTCGGCGAGATGCGCACCGCCTCTCGTGATGAATTTTTTCAGGAAACCCCACAGGACGGCCCTCACAGGAGGCCCTTGAGGGACTTGGAACATCATGCTCGAGAGCTCAGTGCGAATACCGAGAGGATCGATGTAAGGCCCAGCGACCTCTCGGCTCCTTTCGGCACTCAACCTCCTGAAGGCTTGATTGGCCCACAAATACCTTCCTTCCGCGTCCGAGAGCATCACTGGATCGGAAGATCCTGCGTAAACTTGTTCCAGCGACTGGGCATCGTTGCATTCTCTCGCGACATCGAGTTTTTCCTCCATATCCCGCTGGGTTGAAGAAGAAGTGCTGGGCCCTCTCTCGAGAGTCTCCAGCAAAGGACGTCCCTCGGCGGGATGCGAATGCACCTCCGGCGCATGACTCCCCCGGCCCCGCGAGCACTCTCGTTCCTCCTCGACAGAACTCATTTGCTTGGCCTCCTCCTCCTCGGCACCGCCTCCAGACCTAAACAACGTAAGCTTGTGAAGCTCGTCGCGGCCCTCGTTTTGAGCATCGGTGTCCCAATTTCCTGACTCGATATTAATCGCTAAGCGCAGGAAGGGCAAATTGGACTTCGGCATCGAGACTTCCGAACTCGTTTGCTCCAAGTAGGGCGTGTCGGGCAGAAGCGAGAGAGTCACCAAATCGGTCTTCCGACTTTCAGCGCCTTCTCCTGAAGTGACCTCGCTCTCACCATAGCTATTGGATATGCAAGGCAGCTGAGAGGGATAGTACCCACCGCCATCGTGGTACTGAGAGCAGCCCTGACCATTCCCCATCGACGCTGCCGCATCGTTAGCGTAGCCTCGATTGAAGGGAGTGCACCCGCCCCTGACCTGATGAGCGTAGTCGACAGGATAACCACCTGATTTCAGAAAGCCATTCATTCTTCTTCCGGACGGCGCGCTGGCCGCTGCGCGCTCCATGAACGCCGACTCTCTTTCCGCCGGAGGGGCGCTCGGAACACATCTCTCTGCCGACAACTCGGCCTTGGGAACGACGTCCACACGGGGTGGCCCTACTCTGCTCTCCACCATCGCTTGGGCACGAGGGTTCTTCCTTCCAATGGCTCCGAACGACGAGCCGTACTTGTCACGATCAAATCGACAGTGACTCGGGACAGCAAACAATGCTTGAGGATCACTCGGGATTGCTTCCATGAAGGGCAGACCCGGCGGCTCCTGCAAAAATTCGAATCCCAAAATCAGCGAAAGACAACTCAGAATCTCCAAACTGAAGCCTTGAGTGTCCACGAGGTTCCCTCCGCATTGGACATGCATGGAAGCAAATGTTGTCTTCATGAAAAGACAGACGCAGTCGACGCCAGCGTTGATACTCGCACCAGATGAGAGGAAAATACTTCCCCTTGCGCAAGACGTCGACTGCTAACCCTGAAATCTAAGCCATAGAGGCACCGCCTATGCAAAGACTGACGAGAAAGACACGCCCAGCGGCTATCACACATAAGAATTCCCAGGAGTTCAATTTACGAACTGTCAGGGCCGCCGGACAGTCGGTAGGAAGACGATCGTTCGGTCGCCAGTCCCGGCTTAGGTTCTTCAAACCTCGTGCAGATTGAAGACTCTTCCAGCTCAATGACAACGACGACATGAACGCAGGACTGTTTTCGGTTGCGCGTCGTCGTCGTCGTACATAACTAAACTCGCTTCACGAAGGGAGCTGTTTACATTGCACGATGCAGACTTTTGCATTGTGGGATCCTAAGACAACACGCTGGGGATGGTGGTCTGGTCTAATCTTCACAAGCAATGATGGCCACCCCCCACAAGAATCAAAGACGAGCAGAAAAGACGAACCTTCAAGATCGGATAGACTCCGCAAATGGCAGCCCCGGGCCTTGCATGCCCGCCGTTGTCCGGGGAAAACTGCTCGACCGCCTTCTCGATACCGCCGGCCACAGGGATGCTTTTGCATGACACTGTCCGCGCCTTGTCTGGTCGGCCATTGGGCACGGACGATTTCTTCGCTACTCTAGGAAACGCACTGCCATCTTGTTGAGCTCTCTTGCGAGTCCGCTTGCCTCCTCGGGAGCTGTCGGACGATATGGAGCTCGCTTTGGCACTGGTTCTTTCGAATGAGAGGGTGGAAGAAGATTGAGGATCACTGGGAGCAGAACCGGCGGATTCACCAGTCTTGCCAGTGGGCTTGGGAGCTATGGGGCGGTACCGCGAGAGTATGTGCTCGGTCCTCGAGTTCGGAAACGGCGAGGCTGCGGCCGAGAATCCCCTTCCGCACAGCCCCGCTCCTCCATGGTCAGCTCTCATCTCCGGAATTCGTCCGTGCCCCTCCGACCTCCTGTCCTTGTCCACGGACGGACTGCCAGAAGTGCAAGAATCTGTTATCATCGGTCCATGAACTTGCATAGGCAATACCGGATTGGGATAGAGCCTGCTACCCCATCCCTCTGTCTCTGCATCTCGCAGATAGGAGTTCGGGGCGCTGTGTGAAAGTCTGTGATTGCTTAAATTCGCCAGCTAGCCCTACTTTAAATCACCGAGAGAAAATAGAATGTGACCGCGCTTGCGCGTCGGATGCCGAGGGACCCGAGGGGGGTCGTCCACGTGCCAGCCACAGGGTCACTCGCAGGACGAGGATGCCGCCAGTTACCGATCAGAAGCGCCTCTCGAGGATGCAAATGCCTCGTCGATTCTCCTCAAGGTTGGTTCATCGAGCAGCGCCGGAACTCAGAGTGCAAGACACAAACCAACTTTCCATTTCTCAATCCGCCATCCTCTCTGCCGCCTCGACATACCAAACCCGCACGAGCGCTCGCTGCACACGACTGGGCAGACCTAGGGCGATATTGATATCGATATCGATATCGATGTCGAAACTCCTACTCCACTAAAACCATCATCATCATCATCATGGCACCACACCACCGCCCTGACCCCGTTCCAACCACTAGTGCTTCACACGGTGAGGCGCCGCAGACATGCTCCTCCTCCGTCTGCTGCTCCTTCTCCTCCTCCTCCTCCTCTTCCTCCTCGACTCGACTCAACCCCAACCGTTCCGTTTCACCAGATTGCAGGCGTTCACTCCGATTCTCATCCGATGCATTCCTGCCTGCGCCTGCGCCTTCGCTCCAAACAAACATTTCAATTGCCCCCGAGAACAGGTTATGTATGCTCGCGCTGCCGCTCGCTCGCCCCCACTGGTCGGTTGCTTGGCAACCAGTGGGGGAGCCGGGCAGCGGGCAGGTGGTGGGGCCCGCGAAGGGGGCCGTAACTCGCAGTAAACTAATCAGAGGTGGACCCGCTGCCCCATTTTACAGAACGCACCGGACCTGTCCCCGTTGGGCTTGGGGGCGCAGATTTTTATCGCTTTTGGAGGCCGGGGCTTGGGGCAACGAGAGGCGCACCGCAGGGGAACCAGCGGGGGAATGACACTTACGAAAGTGAAGCGGCCCGGGCGGGGGCAGGCCCGCCTCGGCGACCCGCTCGGGCGCCGCGGGTCCGGAGCCAGGCCCGGGGGAACTGCTCGGCTCACGAGTGCACGAATGCATCTCCGCGTCACACGAAGCCAGACAACTCAAGCACAACCACAACTTCCTGCTGCTGGCCCCCACCGGCAAATCTCTCACGATCCTTCCTTGGTCCACATCCATCGCGCTCCCTGAATTCGCTCCCCCCAGGCCTCGATCACTCTTTCTCTGACCTGGAGGACCTCGCAGGGCAGCCGGTCGGTAATTTTCTTTGCCCCTCCCCCACCCCCTTCCCCTACCCCAAGCCCGTACTTGGCTTTCACTCCGCTGTCACCGACTAGCGCTGGGCTGGGTGTCATAACGCGATGCGGCCCGAAGCCTCGGACGCCACATACCAGAGGCAGGCGGAAATTACTGCCAGCCCCAGCCCAAGCCCCCGGAGCCAGGAACGGGGGGCGGTGCCGGGGAAGACCAAAAGCGCGAGGCCGAACCTGGGACCCGGGCACGAATCCGGCGAGAGCCCCGAACGCAGGCTCGCGTCGGCGTTGGATGTTTGGAAGCCACGTGTTGCGCTTACACGTGGCGTCCCCCTGAGTATCCAAATCTGACGCGTCCTTGGGCTGGGCTTATGTTCGCCTCCTCGTCTGTTCTCAATCACACATCCACGATCCCGGTATCTCTGTATCTCTGACGCCATCCCTCGAGAATCCTGGCGACCGAAGTTTTAACTTCTCCCGGGGCTCGCCGGTTCGCCTCTTCTCTTATCATCGTCATCGGCGCCTCGCTAACCCCCGGCCGCCCTGCTTCCTCCGTCGCCGGGGCAACGGAACATTGGATGATCGGAGGTAGTGCTTCCGACTCCTGCGGACTGCTGCCAGTTTTCAACCCCCCATTGTCATTTTCCACGGAGTGCACTTTCGAGTCTACCCGGGTTTAGTACATGGTCCTGGGGTTAGATTTTGCCAGAACTGCCCATGTGGTTAGGAGGTAATTTTACCGCCGTGGAGTCTGGCGGGTTTGACTCACGGTAGGGGAGTAAGCCGACCCGGACTCCTATAACCCCGTCCATGGAAGGCTCCCAGGCCCAGAGCCCCGCCGGCCCCGGCCACCAATAAGCTCCGTTCTCGTAGTCACCCGTGGAGCCTCTCCGGGGGTTGGGGGTGCCGGGCGAGGGTGGAACGGGAAGGAGGAGTGCTTGTTTCCACGGGGCGACGAACCCAGCCCGCGAGTTAAGCCCACTAGAGGTTTGCGCAGGCCCACCATGGCGTACCCAAAACAGGCCAGAGGCCGGGAGGAGGTTTCGGAGGAGCCATCGCAGCCAAAACCCTCAACATGACCTGACAGACAAGGAGACATCGAAGTCCGCGGCACACTCGATCGAGGTTTCAGTGTGCGCAAGAGTCCACTCTGCTGCCTCAGGCCATCCATCCCTCCCTCCCTCTTTCCTGAATCTGGACCCTCGTAGCCCACTGCTCGTCTGTCGCGTAGTGAGCATTTTCAGTGCAATCTCTTGAACCATCGTCGTCGCCGTGTGGAAATCAGAATTCAGTGCATAGTCGACGTCGTCATGCGCCGATCTGATCTCACACGAGAGGGACTTGCTATTAAATTCGTCAATAGTTCGATGAGTTCGGTCCGCGCAACAACTTATCGGGACTATGTTGTCGATGGACTAGATTGTCAGAAAGATGTTAAAACCGCATGCATCTCCGAATCGGCCCCGGTCGATTGTATCCGACCCCGCGTTCTCTTCCAGCGCCACTGTGGAGCCAGATACTACGAGCTACGACGAGATCGAATCGAGGACACATCGACGATTTTATGGCGTGTACTCCAAATAAATTCGAGGCATATCTCATGTCTCACAGCATGTGTTAAACCCAGACTGTCAGCTTAACTATTCGCGTCTGCTCAATGATTAGGAAAGTTCCGGCGTGCAGGGTCCTTCAGAGAACTGCGTGCAGAGGTAACTTTCAGTGACCCGGTGACTTCCACGCAGCTTTGGCTGATCCAAGTCCTTTTCCAGAGTCCAACTTTGTAGACCTGTTGTGACAATAGAGAAGCCTGAAAGTCTCAAGCAGAAAACTGCGGCGTTGTGGAATTTCAGTCTGAGAACGAGGATTTGCTATGACAATCGAGACTCCAAAAACCAAGTGATGTAGCGACAAGACGAGAAGAGTCATAGCCAGGCCCATCAAGTCGTACATGGATGAATCCAAATGGGTAACATGGGACTAGGACCCAATAGCATCACAATGCAAAACGCTGCATGTTTGTTGCGTGGTGACGTGCCCACACAACGCGGCGCTAAAACGCACCTTAAAGCTTTTCTGCATATGGTTGGTTTCATCCCTGTACGACTGACTCGATGGGGTCTTCCCATGCTTCTTGCCTTATTGCTCGGTTCCCCACATATGGTCAGCACATCTTGCCTTACTCTCTGTTACACATGATGGTGATTATAATATTTGCCAGTCTCTTGTCACATCTGCATAACCTGGAGGCTAGTCCCAAAATATGTGAATTATTGAGGTTTACTTTCCTCCCCTCCACAACGATGCAATGGGAGCAAAAGGACACACAAACCTTGACAATTCCGAACTGGTGTGACCTCCATCGCTAAAAATAGGACGGGAAGTATGGAACAGAAAGCTTCAGAAGCTCTATTGCTCTTGTTTCAACGGCCACTCCGAAGAAGGAACAGCATCGTTCCTCCCAGCCTGGGGTTCGCGCGTGCAAAATATGCATTATAATTCAGGATGCCGCGAAGAACATGACATCACATCAAATAGAAAATTGGTTTGTCTCGACCATTAGGAGGGGCGAGATCATTTTGGGATATGTTGAGCTCGAGCAAACCAATCGCGAGTGGCACACAAAAGCTGAATCGAGTGTCGTACAACTTGCTTACTCTTGGACGCGATTCTCTGGAGGGATGTGGGTTCGACAAACGAGAAAGTGAGGGGCCACGCAAATGTACAGAACAGTACAAAGAGGTTGCAAATTGGGCTCGGATTGGTAGAGGCTTCCATGGTTCCATACAGCGAGTGAGTGAGTGTGTACTGTATGGGAGTATCCTGCACTTTACAGCCTCGTTGTCATCCACAGATACGCTTCTGTACGAGGAGGCAAAGCAGGCAGACGACCATGTACAGAAGTACGTCTTCCTCACTCCACCAGACGGAGTCTCTCGGTCAGGTCAACCGCAGTAGACGCCGTTCTCGCCCAACCCGATACGATTAAGAGTATCCCCCATATCTCTCGCTCGTTGGAGTCGCAAGCAGGAGAGATGGACGGTCGGAAGCATGCAAGAGAGGCTGGAGCGACCACACGTCGTCGATCGAGCATATTGTGACAGATGGGGCCACGGTCAAGAGCGGCGAAAGTTGGCTAGAACAGTTGGGATCCGAGAGCCCCCCCCTGACCTCGTTGCCACCTACACGTCACAGTAACTGGAAAAGCTCACATTCCATATTCACAGTTCGAGCGAGGCCGTTTTCGTGCAGTTCAGTTCAGGTCCGGTGCTGTACTTACCCTCGTCGGCCCGTCTCGGCCAATGGAAGCTGCATAATCGATAGCCCCATAACGATGACGATGATTAGATGAGGTGAGATGAGACGATTCGTCATCCGGTTTGGAATAAGCCCAAGTCACGACTCGCGACTCCCAACTGCCCCAAGCCCCCTCCTCCCCCCCGCTGCCGCAGCCGCTTCTTCTTATCCGCAGGCGCTTCTCTTTTTGGGCTTCTCCGTCGCTGGGGTTAGGGACTTGCTCCGAGTTCGGGAGGCGACCGCCTGGACCTGCATTTATAATAGTCGCCCGAAACCGCAGGCCCGCCCGCCGCCCCCCCGCCCCGGCCTACCCCCGCGAGCGCGCTTGCAATTGGAGGCCCCATGCCACGCCCAGCCCCATGTTCTCTCATGATACTTAGGAATTTCGCACTCGGGGCTTGGACGGATTTCGCTAACTCGAGAGTTATTGGTACGGTACAGCGGCTTTGGTGGGAGCGGAAGTACACGAGAGCAGCCATTCCGGACCAATGGACGCGCGAGGAGCGAATTTCCTCGTCTTCCTGTACCGGAGGGGGACGGGAGCGGTTGGCCCGGGGGGGGAGGGGGACGGGGGTGGGGGAAAGGGAGCGGGGGGGTGGGGGAGGAGCGGAGCCAGTAAGGTTTACTGTTGGACTGTACAGCGGGCCACTGTGGGGGAAGCCCAAGCCCAAGCCCATGCCTGAACCCATCGAATCGGATCTCCACGTTCGCATCACAACCATGACTTCTTGACCTCGCGAACTTTTGCGGCCTTTCTCCTCACATGTAGCGCTTCGTGTGGACCATCGGAATCGCTACGTGGCAGTGCATGACTTCGGGGCCAGTCGCCCTGCGCTGCGAACATGTCTAAAAGTTTCGCCCCATTGATTGTGAATGTGGCGCGGTCGTCGCCTCCAGGTCCTCTGCTGGCCTCTGGCCTCTGGCCACTGGCGGTGCGCCCCCTCCGCCTCTTTACGCTTTTCCTCCTCCTCCTCCCTCCTCCTCCTTTCTCCTTTTCCCGCCTCCCCTCGCCGTGGTTCGCCTCCGACTGCGCTTCCCCCAACCCCACCCCCCACCGCCGTTTGACCGCATTCCCCCCTCCAACGTGGTGGAGCTCCACGACAATCGGATTCTTCCTCTTCCCCTTCGCGTCGCAAGCTCACTAGACTCGCAGCCTGGTAAGGCCCATTGGCCAAAGCCGCTTTGCCCAAAGTAGATACCGAAGATAGTTAGGATATCTCGGGCGCTGCAGTTCCCCGAGTTACCCGTTTTGTTTCATTCCCGTACGGTGGGATGGGGTATACCCAGGCATGTTTCTATTAGGCGACCATATATACGGTCGCCTCGATTAAGCACCTAAATTAAGATGGGTGTAATTTGGTGGCGACATGTTGCAACCAATGGGAAGTGACATCTATGTAAAATTTATGGATATTTTAATTATAATTTTTTAATTAATTTAAAAAATTAAAAAATAACTGTTTAAACGAAAAAAATATTACTAGAATAAATTAATTTTTTAAAGATTAAAATGACATAAATTAACTTCTAAGTAGTTTAAATAACTCTTTAGGGAGACTAAATTAATCTTATTTAGGTACTTTAAGGCGAGTGACTATTATAACCATGAGTGGGTATACCCGTCCTTTTGCTATTTACTTGGTCCCCCGGTCACCTGTTCGTAGATTGGACCGCGGGGCCTGGGTCAGAGCGAGAACGCTTAGCACGGAACAAATAAACATTCGGTGACCGGCGACAGCATTGCCTTTCCTGTCTGGTTCGTTCTGTCCTGATTCCCACTAACCCTCGTGTCCTCTGGTCCACTAGCCCGCGAGTTAACCTCGCGGGCCCAGAAGAGGAAGGCTCTAACTTTAAGGACAGTCGGCCACCCAAGGGCCTCGGCCAAATCCATTGCGGAGATCTCCTTGTGCTCGGCGTGGGTCTGGTCGGCTGCAGGTCGGTCGACGTAGCTCACGGCAGCCTTTCGGCCATTTCGAATCTAAACCTAATTTTTCCGTTGCTCCCGAATTTGAAATGTCAGCTTAGGGCCGTCTTCCACCGTCCCCTCCCGGTTGTGACGAACCCTTCCTGGTTGGCCCCAATAGGGCACATATTGGTGCATACATTTGTTCGTCGATTCACCTTGAGAAAGTAATGATGAGAACAAAATTGAAGAAAAATTTGGAAACCTCGTCAAGTTTTATACTTTCAGGTCAAGCTCCGATGGTTTCATTACGGTAATTATAACCTTCACCGCCCATTATCATATGTATCTAGGCACAATGGTTTCACAAGTAGAAGAGTCTCCCAAAATTGTCATCCAAATTTATTGTTTCCCACTATGTATTGCATAAACTATTTCTTACATAAGTTGTGCAGAAAATGATAGCCATGAAACTTCTCGTCCCCTCATTCATTTTCATTCTGAGATTTATCCAACATTTTATGGAAATAAATATGTAATCTCTTTAAACAATCCTAAACCTAATTTTTGAAAACTGCTGCTTACACGCTTATAATCCAATGTGATTGATAAAATATCCTTGTCAAACTAAGACATTGTGTACCACCACAAAAATTTGATCTTCCGAAACCTTTATGCTTCTAGACTAGTATATGATGCACTTGTTGAGTTCAAGTGCATCTTATACTTCAACACACAAATGCAACAAAATGACGCAAATATATGTGGTTGATCTCTACAAAATCTATGTTCATAGAAAAAGATATATTTTATTAAAAAAGTCTTCATTGTGTCATAGAAAAGTACTAATAGCTCTCTTATAAATTGAAAGATTAATTATAGTACTATTAACTACAGTAATACTAACTTGACTTAATTGTCAAAAATCTACTCTTGAATTCATGTATTGAGATCGTAAATCTCTAAAAATATGATTACTTTGTAAAAAGTGCTAAAAATAATCTTCCTTAAATTCTTATATAAACTAAAATTAGCTAGAACTAAGTTGTAGAAGAAGAAAGTATAGTAAAATTATATATGGAGATTACAAACAGCTAATGAACTCAACTTGTACTACTTAATGCAAAATTTGCAAGATAGCACTATATCTTCTAAAAGATTTCAAAAAAATGCTTTGATCACATATGATATTGATGTGATATACCTTGCTATCCATCGCTTGATTTACTGCATAATACACTCAATCAGACTTCCATTCCATTTTGGTGATAAAGACATTCAACCAAATAGCTTCCATTGTTACTTGACTACTTACACCACCTAAAATAAAGTGAAATTCACTTTGGCTTTTGATGTATGTGAAAAGAAGAATGTGAGTGGAACAACATTTGTCAATACCAGTACTACACTTGAACAAGATCAAAAGTACAATACTTGGATCACAAACTCAAATAGAGAAGATTTAGAATCCTAAGATTAAACTTTTAACTATAATGATGAAAAATCTTATTTTTCAAGATCATTGATTGCGCATGCAGAAATAGACTAATGATGAATGAATCTGAAATTGAAGATAGTAAGCTACTTATTTTGAATTTAACAAAAATGTTTGAAACAAGATTTTAGAAAAAATCTTAAACTTCAAGAAGAGGAGTGAGCGATAGAGGTAGCATTCAAGATGATTGAGTTGTCAAGAAATCACACATAACATAAAAAATGATGTGAACATCAATAAGATCTATTTAAAAATTTCATCTAAACTGTTCAATAATTCCATCCACTCTTCAATTCGATATAAGTTGGATAATATCCACAAATGTGGAAAAAATGTTTGCGATATAACAAACTTACTTTGTAAAAAAATAATCTAAACCTATCTTTGAAAAAACTAATGTCAAATATACATAAACTACTACATTATACACTTGTATTTATTGATCCAGCTTAAAAAAACATTCTATGAAAATAAACTATTTAGTTTAAAAGGAATCTTGATTCTTTGTCATAAGATTATATAGATTAATATATTATTTGTCTTTATTTTTCTAATCATACATTACTACATTAGCATAAATTTTACTTTTGGATGTATAGTGATCTCTTAAGTTTTTGATGAAAATAACTTACTTCAATGGTTTTTTACTATCTTGTGTTTGGTTTATTATAATTCTTACACATACAATTTATTTTCAAACATTCATTTGTATCGTAGAGCAATACACATTTCTATGCATATAAAATCAAATCTAAATAAATCAATTTTAAATTTCACAAAAATATGTAATTATAATTTTTTTAAATAATTTAGTAAATTTCATTTAAAAAATTTAAATATATATGAAATTATTCATGTATCAAATTTTTTCTAATCACTTACAATTTTGCATATTTGTATCAACTTTGGGCTATCAAATATAATTCAAGAGTGATTAAATCTAATAAAAGTGCATGTTAAGCACAAATTTAATTTTTTAACATTTTTTGAATTAAATCACATTTTAAAAAATCTTAAAATTTTATAATAATCATCCAAATTGAAATTTTGAAATTTATTTTCAAATGCAAGATTGTAATTTGATCTTTGTATGAACTTTTACTAATAACAGTTTCTTCAAAATAAATTTTATAACATTAAAAATCTAACCTAGCGTAAATTGCACATAGTTGACTTTGATTTATCAAAATACATCAATTAAATTTCAGTTGATACCTAACCATCATCCAAATTGCATATTTGAAATCAATTGTCAATTACATTTTTTTATTACCACAAACACAATATCAATGACATAAATATGCGAAACTTTTCTTATGGTGCAATCATGAGATGTAGACTAGAATATATAGAATATAATAAGATTGAGTTGATGTTTAAAACTTTTTTTTTAGACTTTTCTTATGATACAACCATGAGATGTAGACTAGAATGTACAGAGATTAAAGTGATGTTTAAAATTTTATTTTTTCTTAGACTTTACTTAGATGCAACCATGTGATGTTTAGAATGTAGTGAGATTGAATTGATGTTTGAACTCTTGTAGATATACTAATAGGTAGAAGAGTCATAATTATTTAAAAAAAAAAGTCCTACTAGCTATATTCATTGTAGGGAGTTTAAACTCTCAATAGTGTTTACTCTTAATATTGACATACTTTCAATAGTGATCTAAAAGTGAAGATCATTAAATTGTAGCTTGAAAATGTCTCAAATAAGAATAGTATGTCACTTTTGATAATAGCGACATGATAAACTCAAATAGTGACCAACCCTCCATCAAATCTTAACCTTGGATTTTAGCGTTTTGAGCAAAATTGCTCCCAAATTCACCAACAGAGCTTTGTAGAAAAGCTATCTTTTTTTAAACAACATGGACAAGTATCAATCAATAATCATTGCCGCCCACTTGAAAACTGAAAACAAACCTTTGCTTCTCTAAACACTGGAAATCTGACAGCTTCAATCGTCCACAATGACTTTTGAGCTCACAAGCAAGACAAGGTTTTTCAGCTTCATTGATGATCTCAATTGGGGATTTCTAGTTCTTCACATCTGAGCACAGACAAAAAGTAAGCCTCACGATAAATAGCTTGCAAATTTGTTAAATATACGCCACTAGTGAGTTTAGGAGCAATTGTTGGTGGCGTGACAGTGTAAAGTCCGGTCTTCATGCTTCTTTCAGATGCCTGAGATATGGAGACCAAAGCTTTGTGGCACAGAGTATTCATATTAGTACTCACAAAGTGTAACGATTTATGTCCATAGCAAATCATTATCCTGATCGAACG